CCCAAACCCCAAACCCTAAACCCTAAACCCCTGCACTTACCGGAGTAGTCGAAGGGCGCTTGGCAGATGCCATCTCCTTCTCTGAGAGAGCGAAGCATCAAACCCTAAGCCCTAAACCCTAAAATCCTTATACCGTAAAAACCCTAAACCCTAAACCCTAAAAGCCTTAAACCGTAAAAACCCTAAACGCTAAACCCTGACGCCCAAACCCTAGGCACGTACTCTGTCCAGTCTTCAGGGCAGAGAGCGTTGAAGTCTCTTTTGCATTTCTTCAAGCTTTGTGGAGGCGAAAATGAAAACCACGATTTAGGGTTTAGGGTTTAGGGTTTACCAGGGCCAGGGGGTGAGGCATTCTTTTTCAATTTGTTGCTTTTCAATTTGGTCGCGGGCGCAGTCGATGCGCCTTTCGCACTTGCCTGAAGGGGCCAAACCCTAAACCCTAAACCCTAAACCCTAAACCCTAAACCCTAACCGATGTAGGCCCGAGGCGCTTCGCAAAACCCTCCAACTCCCACGGGGGTCCAGGCAAAGGGGCAAAGGGTTTTGTAGTTGCGGCTGCAGAAGTTTTGCTGCTGCAGTGTTGCTGCCAGCAGCAGCGGGTTGAAGTTTTTTTCTTTTTGCTGCAGCTCTTCCTGCAGCAGCAGCAAATCGTAGCCCGCCAGCGGCTGCTGCTGCTGCTGCTGCTGCTGCGCTGCAGCAGAGCCAAAAGAAATCCAGCCGTCCAGCTGCAAGCGGCGCAAATCAGGGTTTAGGGCTTTTCTTCTAGGGTTTAGGGTTTGGGGTTCAGCGTTTAGGGTTTAAAGCCTAGGGTTTAGGGTTTAGGGTTTAGGGTTTAAACAAGCACCTCGCCTTCGCACTCAGAGTTGAGCTCAGCTATGCGCTTCTCCTTCGTCGCCATTTCCTGCTCCTCTTCTGGAAGTGGTTTTGAGGGTTTAGGGTTTAGGGTTTAGGGTTTAGGGTTTGGAGCAAAATGCGAGCCACCTTCTTTCATCTGCAGACACGCCTCCAGCATCTTGGGCTTCATTAATGGTCTTTGAATAAACGGAACCTGCAGCAGCTCGGAGCTTAGCGTTTACACTTGAGGGTTTAGGGTTTAGGGTTTAGGGTTTAGGGTTTAGGGTCTAGGGTTTAGGGTTTGGACTACTTTCTCTGCCTCTGGATCGATTTCCTTTCTGCACTGGGCCTCCTTCTCCTGCCTGGTGAGCTTCTTGAAGCTGCTGGCCTCGACTTGGAGTTTTCTTTTCAATTCTTTGCATTCCTTTTGTCTTTTTTCATCGAAATTCAAAAGACGATTCATTTTATCTGGAGGATCAGCAGCAGAGGCGGAGGCGGCGAGGACGCCGCCCGCCTGAAACCGAAAAGCTGAACAGCGGCGAAAGAGCGGGAAAAAAAGGAGAAAAAAGAAGGATTTCATTGAATTCAAAAACAAAAATCAATTTGCAATTCAAATCCATTATTTTCTTCCAAAAATAAACTGAATTTTCGCTGCTTTCCCTCTTCTGAAGGGTCCCACTGGTCACTCTGCGCAGCTGTTTCGGGTGTATCGACACCTCACGCTGCGCACCGCAGATCGGCTTGACCGGATCTGCCAGCAGTTCTTTGTTGCCTAGTGTTTGAATTTAAAACATTTAAACCATTTCAAACACTTTATTTTTTTGTTTTTAATTCAGCCGTCGGAAGCTTCAAGGCCTGGACGGGAACGCGCGGCAGCGGCGGCAGACACTCCACGAGATGCCCCCAGAGGTAGAAGACAGAAATGCAAAGTAATGAAATTCAAATGCAACTCTTGAGAACATTTTTTAATTCTTTTGTTTTGCTGCTGCAGCAATTGACCATTTGAAGATTTAAGGGAATTGACAACAATCCCTAATGCAAACCCTAAACCCTAGATCCTCCAAGCTAAACCCTACGTCCGCATACTCAAACTATAAACCCTAAACCCTGAAGATCTTCAGATAGGCGTAACATGCAGCTAAGGCGCCAAAACCTTGTTCAAGCAGAGAAAGTGCTGCTGCTGCTGCTGCTGCTGCAAGTGCTGCTGCCGCAAGTGCTGCTGCTGCTGCTGCCTCCGCTGCAGCTGCTGCTACATTTGCTGCTACAGCTTCTGCTGAGACTGCAGCAGTAAATGCAGTTATTGCACTTTCTGTACTTTTCTCTCCGCTGCTGCTGATATTGTTGCGGCTTCAACGCCCATGCCACCACTTGCTGCTGCTGCTGCTGCTGCAGTTGCTGCTGCTCCTACCAAACCCTAAACCCTAAACCTAAACCCTAACAACATCAATCATCTACTTCCGGGTGCCTCTGGAAAACTTATTAGCTCGAATGGAGTCTCCCCACAATTCTAGAGGAGCAGCAGCAGCTGCAGCACGAGCAGGATGAGCAGCAGCAGCAGCAACAGCAACAGCAAGCGCTGGCATAGTTGCTGAGGAGGCAGTAGCAGCAGCAGCAGCAGCAGCAGCGCTCTGCCAGCTCATCGGTATCCATTTGCTGCAGGACACTGGCTGCGTCCCAGCATAGCAGCACTAGCTGCTGTTGCTGCTGCAGCAGCAGCAGCAGCAGCAACCGCAACAGCAGGAGCGGCAGCAGCAGCAGCAACAGCAGCAGCAGCAGCAACGGCAGCAGCAGCAGCAATACGCGGATAAGAAACAGGGGATGTTCCAAGGAAGTTTAGGACCAGAAATCTGTTTTGCTGCTCTCCGTGGCGGCAAAAGTGAAAACATCGAAGTTGCTGTGAAGTCCATGCAGACAGCTATGCTCTAAACCCTAAACCCCTAGACCCTACACCGTAAACCCTAAACCCTAGGGGTCTAGGGTTTAGGGTTTAGGGTTTATTGTGGCGTCCCAGAAACTTGAAGGCCTCAGAAGCAGCGAGGCTGCTTAGGGTTTGGATCTCATCTCCAAATGGCGCATTTTGTTTGTTTTTTGATTTAAAACCAATTATTATTTAATTTAATTAAATTAATTAAATTTAAATTAAATTTATTTTTAATTTAAACTCATTATCCTCCAGCAGAGCAGCAGCAGAAACCCATTTGCTGCTGCGGGCGCGGCCGACGGACCGCGGCGAGTAGCAGCATTTGTTTTTTTTATAGTTTCCATTAAAGCATTTTGTCTTTCCATTTTTTAAAATAAAACATTTAAAAAAGAAATGAATTAAATTGCTGTTCAGCGACTGCGGGGTTCCTGGCGGGCGCAGCTGAGGTGTCGATACACCTGAGGCGAATGCGGAAAGCTGAATTTTTTACGCGCGTCGTAAACCCTAAACCCTAAACCCTAAACCCTAGCTGCCTTTTGCGCCGCATTCACTTTAACGAGTCAATTGTTTGTTTTTAATTTCTAAAAAGCCTCCAAATGGTGTTTTTCCGAAGCAGGGAATCGATTACGCATAGCGGCAAGACGGCAGCAAGTGGAAGGCGAGCGCCGGGGCCGCGATCAGGTTATTTCGAGTGTTTTTGAATGAAAATGGAGATGTTTTGCGAATTAAACATTAAAAAATAAAAAGGAAAATATAAAAAACTTTGAAAAAGGGGAAAAGGGAGAAGAAGATCGTAGGGGGCCCCGGCGGTGCCAGCAGCAGCGGCGGCAGCGGTTTGCAGGTTCGTCACTTGCGCTGCAGTTTTTTCTCCTTTTTCCCTTTTTCTTCTTTTCATTATTTCCTTTTTTATTTATTTATGCATTTAGGTAAAAAGAATGCTCGGAAGGTACGCGTTGTCGGCTCTTCCGCTGTGAGTCGGGGTGACGGCTAGTTGCTGCGACACCTGGGCGCCGCGGCGCAACCCAAACCCTAAACCCTAAACCCTAAACCCTAAACCCTTTCCAGGGCCCGCCAGCATGGGGTTATGGTCGTGGCTGAAGCGGAAGACGCGGCGGCCCCGCAAGCAGCGGCAGCCCCCAGTGGTCCCCACTGCTGCAGCAGAAACAGCAGCAGCAGCAGCAGAAGAGCCTGCAGAGGAAGCAGCAGCAGCACCAATTGTGCAGTACCCCCTTTACGACCCGCGGCACGTGGAAGCAGACCTGGAGGAGCCGCCGCTGCTGCGCCAGGGCTCTGCAGCAGCAGCAGCAGCAGCAGCAGCAGCAGGCTTCGCCTCCAGCTTCAGCAAACAGCTGACTGAAATCCCCATAGAGAGGAGCAGCAAAGAAGTGCTGTCAGTGCCCCGCAGCGAGAGCGACTCGGAAGCAGAAGAGCTGTCAGCAGCAGCAGCAGCAGCAGCAGATGAGGGGCCCCTCAAACCCTTAAGTGGGGACTGCAGCCCCTTGTCAGTGGGCTCTATGGACTTCTCGGAGTCCTTGACAAGGGGGCCCTCACTGCAGCAGCAGCAGCAGCAGCAGCAGCAGCGGAGGCGGCAGCAAAGCCGCCCGGGAAGCAGCCCCGCAAGGCAGCAGCAGCAGCGCAGCGGCCGAGCTGGCAGCAGCAGCAGCAGCAGCAGCAACTCAGCCGCTGCAGCTCCAGGCGCCAGCGCTACGGGGCCAGTAGCTTCACCGCAGCAGCAGCAGCAGCAGCAGCTGCTGCTGCTGCTGCAGCAAAGCCTCCCGTGCTGCAGCACTTCGACGCTTTTCCTTTGTCTTAGAGGGCCTAGGGTTTGGCTTCACAGTCTTTCAATCCTTAAACCCTAAACCCTAAACCCTAAACCCCGAACCGATTGTGTTTATTGACTACCCAACTCATCTTTTGCAGTTGCCGCGCAACCTGTAAACCCTAAACCCTAAACCCTAAACCCCCGAAGAAGGCTAATGCGAAGCCGACTAGAACGAGTGCTGCAGCAGTAGCCACAGTACAGCTTCCTGCTGCACGCAGCAGCAACAGCAGCAGCAGCAGCAGCAGCAGGGATCATTTCTCGGGCAGCAGCAAACGCCAGCAGTTGCAGCAGCAACAGAAAGCAACAGCACCAGCAGCAGCAAAATCCGGTGTTGCTGCGTCTACTTTTGCTGCTGCTGCTGTCATTATTGCTGCCACTGCTGTCGCCGCTATTCCTGTGCAGTTGCTGCTGCTGTTGCTGTTGCTGCTGCTGCTGTTGCTGCTTTTGCTGCTACTGACACGTCGGCGCAGCGGCCAAATGCATCATCGCAGTGTCTCTGCTGCTGCTGCTGCTGCTGCTGCTGTTGCTGCTGCTTCTTGGATGCTGCTGCTGAGAGCTTCGACGCTGCCGTTGCTGCCCGTTTCATTTCTGCTGCTGTCTCTGCTGCTGCAGCTGCTGCTGTTCAGTGCTGCTGCAGCATCTTCCAGCGAGTCAAAATGCAGCTGAGAAGACACAGCAAGCAAGAATAAGTTGTCTTCTGCTGCAGCAGCAGCTGCTGCTGCTGCATCTGCTGCTACTGCTGCTACTGCTGCTGCTGCTGTTGCTGCCGTTGCTGCCGTTGCTGCCGTTGCTGCTGCTGCTGCTGCTGCTGGTTACCTGTATATCAACTGGTTCCTCTGGGGATTCAGACCACAGCGAGAACAACTTTGCCTGGATCTGCTGCTGCTGCTGCTGCTGCTGCTGATCTCCCCGTTGCTGCTCCTGTTGTTGCTGCTGCTGCGGCGGCTCAGAATCTTCAGGTGCAGCAGAAACGGTCTGCGAGCTTTGTGATGATGCTGCTGTTTCTGCTGCTGCTGCTGCTGTTTCTGCTGCTGCTGCTGGCTCTGCTGCCGTTGCTGCTGCTGCCGCTTCTATGGCTGGCGGTGCTGCTGCTGGTGCTGCTTCCGCAGCAGTACGTGGCTGCAGCAAAGCGTGCCTACAGTGCCCCGTCAGTTGCTGGAGCAGCTGCTGCTGCTGCTGCTGCTGCTGCTGCAGCAGCAGGCGCCTCTGCGCTTCCTCTTGCTGCTGCTGCTTCGCAATCTGCAGCAGCTCTTCAAGTTCCGTTTTTAGTACAGCCACTAACTCAAGGGGAACCCTGCTGCTGCTGCCAC